GCTCACCTCCACACAGGGTGAGGTGAAAATTGAAATGTAAGAGAAGCTGAATTTCTTAATTTTTTCCAACTGGTTAAATTAAATAGTAACATAATGCAAAGATAGTGCCAACCCTGAGGATTCCATCACTGTAGAAGAGTTAAGAAACCAAGGATCAGTTAGTTTCATCCAACTCTTTGTACCTCCCCACAAGATGAACACGATCCCCTGAAAAGTATCTTGGCACGCAAGAGCCTGAGACTACAGAAGAAACAACACGGACAAGCACTCAATGAACAGCTGAAAGTCGTGGCCTCTCTAGCTGGCTATACTGGCATACTTGGCACCCTGAAAGCCATCAATGCTCAGTACTAAGATATGGTCAGTCTTCACATCTCATACGCAGATCCTTCACATTTAAAAAACCTCAAAAAACCCAAACACCCCTCCCATGCTCCGCTTCTCAATTATGTCTCTAAACAATCTTCAAAAGCCACTCTTCTCACCAACCAACAGCCACGCCACTGAACAATAAACCAATGGCTAAATTGCAGTTATTTCGGTTACTAGAAGAATTTCTAGTTTTAATTGATAGAAAATTATCTTTTGAGTCTCCAGGCAGCTGTGGTGTCTCTGCTGTTATTCATAGCTTTGGTTGAAAGCATTAACATTAAATCAACAAAGCTGTGATTTCACTATGCTATGCAAAATACCAATTGTAACAGTTAATATAATCAAATCTGTTTAATTGGTGGTTGGTAAAGATGGAGCCTCATATTCATCTCCAAGGACAGTTTCTTCTCAAGGAGTTCTGTGAAGCCCATTTGTACTGCCCCCAGAAGTTTTCTCAAAAAGTCCTAAGCTATGGTCTCACTTTCTTCCCTTCCCTCATTTCGATCAATCTCTGGGTAATCAGGCCTAGCTAACAGACACCTCGTCCACTGATACATCATGTAAGGTTTTTGGTTTGTTTGTTCCATTTTTAGCTTTACGTACATTCAGACCAAATAGCCAGTTTACTTAAAAAGCACAATTAAACTTTTGCATAATTATATACACAATAGCATACAGAAAGCATGAAACTAGCTTTCAATATATGTGACCACAGACTTAACATATCTTTGCCAAAATAATTATGCGAGCATAATTGTGTATACACATGTAAACACACAAATTATCATGGAACAAGCTTACATTAAAATAAATTAAAAAATCGGACACAAGTTGTACTATTTGTGCTCTAAATCTTTGTCCCAGCAGATTTCCAACTTTAAGACTGCTGAGTAACTGACCAATGCTGTGAACCAATATGCACTTAGAAAGTTTTGATTTCTGTAACCTAGCAAATACAAAAATCCAAGTCCTTGGCTGACTTGGGCTGCGAGCAAAAATAAAAGTCCTGCTTCAGAGATGCTTTGCAACACCTCTACAATTTTATTCTGTTCCTGCTGTGGTGCAACTGAAAGTCAGAGAGACAAATACTTGAGTCTGTATATCTAATATTTAACACCTCAAGGGGAAAGGAAACAAAACATTTAAATGGTAACTATCATGTTTCAGCAAATCCCTTGATTTTGGTATATCCCGGGGCCAAGTGTTCTTCAGATATCATTTTTATTGGAAAACAACAATTAAAAGGAAAACCAAAAACTTTACATGTTCCTTAAGACCTCTGTAGGAACTCAAAGAACTGCCCTTATTTTTAATGAATCAATTTTTCTAATGTCATTGGTTCCCAAAACTAGAAGTCCTCTTCAGGTTTGAAATAAAAACAAACATCCATTTGCAAGAAAGTAAGTGGCTGCTCCAACTCTTCCAGGACAGAAAGGGGCAGTATCTTTTGTTACAAAGTGCAGCCAAAACATTGTAAAAAGGAAAAGCTGCAAAGTATATGAAGTATGCTTGTTTTTCCTGGATCTCAAATCGAAATCAATTTAGAGCTCATTATTGAATAAGCCAGGGCCTATGGAAGTATGTTTTCCTTTGAATTCAGACTTTTGAAATAACAATCAATAGTGAAGAAAACTTGGCATAAATGTAACATTGCATCAGAAAATGAGAGTAACTTTTAAATACATAGATCTTCAATTTTCCAGTTGAGTTTTATTTTGGATACATAATCTTTTTATGTACTTAACAAATGTTTACAGAAAATAAACACGAATACCCTCCTTAACAGTGTTTGCCATTGTAACACAACAAAGGAGTCAGGAAGTATTTAAACACTTCATAAAACTATGTATTATTTTGAGGTTCCACATAGAGTAACAGAGGTAAAAAGAGCACCTGCCTAGGAAAGCCACCAACTTTATCAGGGATAACTTGTATTTTTTAAAAAAGCAGCATAATGATGAGCCTCACCTTTAAAGAAATTAGTCAGAAAAAAAAATATCAGTGGATCAATACCATTAAAAAAACCAAACAAACAAACCAAAACAACTCAGGAGGAGTCCAATGCTTTCAGTGCAGACTGTGGCAACTTGAATAATCTGTCTACTTAAGTGCCATAGACCCCATTAAACTTGTGAATCTCTTCACTCTTGCCTTATCCTTCCCAAGGAAACAGCGTGGGGGCCAGACCATCCTATCCTAAGAAATCAAGCCATTAGGAATAATGGCTTGCATTGCTGATGAAATTATATTTTTCTGCTGGTATGCAAAACTTAATTTAATGATTTTAAATGGACAAAATATGTGAGCAATTATGGAAAAACAGTTGTAAGTTTCCTGAATGGGGGTGAATCTGACTGTAAAAGCTTAAAAACTCTGGCAGCAGAAGAGATTACTTTTTCTCCGTCAAATGAGGACTTTTTGTCATAGTCCTACAGTAAGACTTCAAACACCCCAAGACATGTGATTGAAAGGGAAAAAAACTTTCAGTGTCATCATGATTATTCATTTTGTCCCAGTGCTTTGTTGTTAGAGTAAAAACACCCAACTTTCAAGAAAAAAAAAAAAAAAGCAGAAAAACACAAGAGATCACATGGCATACAACTATTTGTTTTCTCTCAAAATGAGCACAGGTTGAGATATCCAGGTGGCTTCTCTAATTCAATTTATACAGTACCACCTGGTGCACTGGGTCCTCAGGACATGCAAAAAATAGTACTTCAATGATCAGGTAGCTTTCACACATAACATTTATGAAGCTTATACACTTCTAGTCATACACATTATTATATGGAAATGATGATCTAAAGCTAGCCAAATAGTTTAGAAATCCTTTTGCAAAGTCCAAGTTCACGTTCAGTCAGAGGAGCAAATGGGAGATCCGAGGACACATTGCTGACATCAGGTGATGGCCAGGGTCAGACACCTTTCCCCTTGTATTCATCAACGACAACAGTAAGCTCCTCACCCCGAGGTACCAATCCCGCACAAACAAGCCTAAGCACAGTCATCTTCCTATATATAGCAGCCTCTCTCAGAAGCAATCATCACTGGGACCACAAAGGCTCCATATTATCCACAGACGAAACCAAGGAAAAAGAGGTAGCAGAAGCATTGATTTTAGCAAGTCTCTTTTCTTTCAATTACTGCTCTTGGTGCTCCAGCAGCCCTTCAATCATCACACATTCAAAGCTATACTAGCTTCCTCATTCTTTGCCCAGTGTTTCAAGAAAATGAAGCTTATACAATCATGCTACACATGAATGCTTGTGTGTGTGTATATAATAAACTTTGAACTCTAACATTAGTCAATTTTGACCAAATCAACTAAAAGACCAAGAAGTCTCAGAGATAATCAACTACTTATATTTTTCACAAAAATAAACATGTCCCTCATACTTGAGCACCTAAATACCCCTGCAGAAAAAGTTTGTACATTGAACTTTAATCCAACACCATTCAAAACTGGAAAAACAAAACCCATCTGGTTATTGTTCAACATGAAAAATGAGACAAATCCCTAGGAAGCCAGCCATTAGTTCTGGCATCAATTAACCACTTGATCTTATTCACATGACTTGTTCCTTAGGAAAAAATCATATTTCTGTTCTTGCATGTATCCCTGCCATCCAGCACCACTTCACTGATGATGGATTGAGGCCAGAACACAGGCAGCATGAAAAACATTCTGCTTTTCTTGGATATTCAACAGATGTAAGTGTCTTAAAGTTACATTCACGTAAGCCACACGTCAACATTACACTAGGTGTTGTACTGTAGCTATTATACAGTGCTTCACAACTTAAGACAACTGTTTAAGGCCTCTAACCCATGATTTCTTTCTTCTTCTAAACAAAGTATAGTGTTTTTTACATTGTTTTGCAGAGTGGGCAGTGCTTTATTCCATTAACTTCAGTGAGACTATTCATGAAGCAAAATGCTATGCAATATGATTACCAGAAGAGTCATCTACAGTGACGTCTCACATGCCTCACTGATCACTGTAATCCCCCACTCACCTGCTGGGATACTCAAGTCTATATTCTCTCTATAGGACCAACTGACATCATCTTATACCCTTCCAAAGAAAGGGTAGCTAAAGCTTTAAGATAAACTCGTTATCTGCCACGAAGATTTACAAATTAAATTATCTTTAAATCCAAAAGTAACACTTTCCATCAGAATATAATCAAGGTCATCAACACAGTACCCAGAGACCCCCTCCAATTTATTGGGCTACTGAGAGCATATTTACGATAACAGGCAGTAAGTTTCCAGTTCAAGACCTACTTACTCCAACGAACTCAATCTCATCTTCACTTTCAGAAGTTGATTTACTCTCATGAATGTTGATAGAGCTACGAGACTCCATTATCTAAACAGAAACAAACCAAAACATACTTCATTTTATTTTGTAATTTTAACTACACAGCATTTTCCATTTTATGCCTACTTTGGCTTTACAACCTATCTGCACTCAACAAGCCTCTCTATATCATTCACTGACAATTATCAGTAATACCAGAATAAGTGATAATTTTGACTCGAACCACGTTAGTACACTTTTCCAATTATGCAAAACGTGGCCCAATCTCTACAAAGCATCCCAATACCTATGTTCCTCCAGCAGCCATGGCTATAGCGTACCGCCAGAGTTCAACAACATGCTTAAGTCTGAACACCTGAGCAAGAGACAGACCGGAGCTCTAGCCTAACGGCGCTGTACTACCGCTGCAACACAGAGGACGGTTTAGTAACAGTACGGGGTGAGGCGTAATTAGCAGCTACAGGTACTCTTGACGCCTTTGGCCCCTTTAGGACCACAGCAGAGCCAAAAGGCTGAGCTTCCTGCTTCAAAACCAGCGCCGTCCTGCCAAACGGAAGGTCTCCATGAGCGGCGAGGAACCGCGGCCCGCCCGAGGGCGGCCCCGGCAGCGCGGACCCACCGAGCGCTTTGCTGACTCACGTTTCGTTACCCGCACGGACACCCCAGCC